GAAGTCGTCAAAGACGAAGAAAAAGATGCGGGCGAACAGAGGAGGAAGACCGGTTTGCAACTAGGGACGACGACGACAACAACAAGTTGCCCGTGCTCCCCTGCAAGTTGCCGTAATATCGTTTTATCGGATCTACCGTTATGTCGATCCGTTCTGCATCGACAGCGCGTACGTATACGATTCTCTTCTCTCGGCTTCACGTTCGACGGCGACGTTCTGTGCGCCACGTTACTCGCATGGCAACACCGGAAACCTCGCTCGCGCAGGGCCACATGGGACCACCGTCTACGTCATCGATCGATGCCAGTCAACTGGCCGATTCAAACTGGTCGACTAGAGAGAGAGAGACAAGTGATCTAACTGTAAATCTAACGCTTTTCGCTCGGCAACTTGTCGTTGTCGACGACGACGACACACGAATCAACTGTATCACGCGGATCGCGTAAATAGATAGCTACCTGGCTATAGCTCGAGCTCGCCATTCGATACCGTTCGATTCCGTCGTGTTGGAACGCCTCGTGCAGGACGATCGCGCTGCCAGCCGCTGATTTGCATAACAAATCGCGAGTCGAGTCGTTCAGCAGGCTTGCTAGTCAATCCAGGCTGCAGGCAGTCGATATTTGAAGCACGGTCGGGAGCGGGGAAATCAGCGACGAAACGACCCCGTTTCACCTTTCATTTCGGTGCCTTCGACGCGATTTTTACTCGGTTGACAGCCGACTGTTAGGCGACTGTTGGTACACGAAACCAACGAATCTAGACCAACAACTGATTTACCGATTTTTTTTCGACGATCTTCTGATCATCTTTCACGGTCGAGAAAGCCTGTCAAGCGATTCCAAATTTCCGAAAGACGAGAATTAACTAGCATTATTCGCTGTCGCGTATTCTTTTAAACTATACCGGAAGCTGTTACGTTTCTACTTCTGTTACTTCGCGGAAGAACGTTTCCCTGTGTGGAAAATGTTCCGTAAATATCTGGCTGCCTCTGGCGCCGATAGACATCGCTTAATTTAAAGTTTCCATTCGCTACCCTGTTTAACATTCTTCCAGGCGGAGGCTAGGATCGGCCGGTTAATTGGCACGCAACAGAAATTCCTAGGCAGCTCGGAGCGCGTATATACAATACGATACGATGCGATACGATACAACAGAGATTTCCCGTGTACCCGGAAAGCTTCGCGATACGAACCTGAGAGGATGGTTTCTGAAGGAACGTGGCGATCCCAGCGCGCACCCTGTTTTTCACACCGCGCACAGTTCCCTTGGCACTACGTATGGCTTCCTTCTCGAGGATCTTGTAGCCGGCGAAACATTCGTCGGTGTCCTTGTCGCCGGACACCACCCCTCCTGCCCTGCTGCCGTCCTTATTGTTGCCCTTCAGTTCGTTCACGTGAAACTTGTAGAACCTGTCGTACTCGTACACGTACTTCTTCCCGGTCACTGGATTCACGCTGGTGTCCACGTCGCCGGCAACCAACTCCTGCTCCAATCTCTCCTGTTCTTGCTTCCTCTCCTCGTACGTGCATTCTCTCACCACCGGCGACGACGACGACGACGACGAAGATGAAGATGAAGACGAAGACGAAGACGACAGCCTGCCATTTTGCTCTATGTTCGGGTCGGGGCTCCTGATCCTCGGTGTGGAGGAAGCTTTCGACAAGGAGGACGCACCGGATGGCGAGGGAGAGACGCTGGGAGAACCCTTGGCCGAGCACGAGTCCGTTCGTTCATCGTTTCGATCTTCGTTCGATGACGAGTCCAGTCTGTTCGGTGGAGTCACGATCGGTTCAGAGTCGCTGTATCTCGAATTATCCGACATCCCATTCTTCGAACGATGATTGTCCGCGCGTTGTTGATACTCCAAGGACGTTCGATCGGCCTCGACCCCGCGGCCGACGGTTACTCCGTCGCTCAGCTCGCCACCGTTCAGAGAATCGCAGCTGATGTTGCTCTCGTTGTCGTCGCTGTCGACCTCCGCTCCGCTGCTGGTCAGACTTCCGGTGCGATTGTGCTGATTACTCGCGAGGATGACCGTACTGGCGTTGTTCTTCTTCTTGGGAAGTGGCGGCGGTGTGCCGTCCAGATCGCTGCAGGTCCCGCTGTCCAACGTGTCGCTCGGCGAACACTGCCCGCTGGACATCACCATGCCGTTCAACTGGCCGGGATAGCCGGTGTTGTAGTAGAAGCAAGCGCTCGAACGATTGTTCGAGGAGGACGTGTTCAGAGGCTCGGAGGTGTCGCGGTGAACCATGTCTGCGCCCGGGGTGAGGTCGTCGCAGTTTCGGCTGGCCTTGCTGCTATCGTCGTTGCTGTCGTTGTTGCCGCGTGCAAAAGTGTTCGAGCCAACACTGATCCTGACACAGCCGTCACCGGCACTTCCACAACGCTGCTCGTTCACCAGATTCGTCGCACTCACGACCACACCGAGGTCACGCTTGCTCGAACGTTCGCACGCGATCCCGTTCCCCAGCTCGGCTTCGTGGCCGACGTTCTCGTCCAACGTCAATCGTACGGTCGATATCACCCTGCCGTTCTTGTCACCATCCGGGTTGATCTTGATCTTCACCACGTGTGCCGCTTGCTGCTGCTGCTGTTGATGGTGATGATGATGATGATGATGATGATAATGATGATTATTATTACGATGATGATGAAGCTGTTGCTGTTGCTCGTACTGCAGTTGTTGCTCGTTCTGCGCGGTCTGAACCGACTTGACGCTGCTCTGCTTGCCGTAGCCGTTCGCGGCCTGCACTTCCGGGATTCTTCTTCTACAGGTTGCCGCGGAATCGACGCCAGGAGCAGCCAGTCCGACAAATACCGTTGCTCCGGCCCCTGTGCTCAGAGGAGCCGTGGGGGGACTAGAAACAGCCCGGATTGACACAGTCTGTCGAGCAACCTGACTCGCGTCTCGGGGCTGAGTCTTCGCCGGCAGTGTCGGTGGAACGGTCATCCTGACGACCTCGTCCATGTACACATTCGAGAGCACTGTCACTGGTCACCGATCCAACGATCCCTTGCTTTCTCCTCTCTCTCTCTCTCTCTCTCT